CTCTTTTTGATGGAACCAATTATACATATTGGAAAGAACGAATGAGAATCTATATTCGTTCCACGAACTTCCAATTATGGTTGGTTATCAAAAACGGGGAAGAGGTGCCGATGAAGAAAGTCGGAGACAAGTTGATCCCCAAGACCGAAGACGAGTTTGATGCCGAGGACATCAAAAAGGTCGAGAATTATGCAAAGGCGATAAATATGCTTTATTGTGCCGTAAATCCTGATGACTACCGCAAGATCTCTTGCTGCTTAACCGCCATGGAAATGTGGGACAAACTTGAGGTGACGTACGAAGGAACGGACCAAGTACGTGAAGCCAAGATTGACTTCCTCACCCAAGAATATGAGATGTTCAGGATGAAGGAGCACGAGAAGATCGACGACATGTTCGACCGATTTTCCAAGATAATCAATGATCTTCATGCAGTGAAGAAGACTTACACGGACAGGGATCTTGTACGAAAGATCCTACGGAGCTTGACATCCGAATGGCGATCCAAGGCCGATGCCATCTATGAGTCAATCGGCAAGTCAAATGTCACCATCGACGGTTTAAGAGGTAACATAAAAACGTATGAATCTACTATACTTAACCCGTCTTTGATTGATCAAGGAAAAGGCATAGCATTAAAAGCCTCCAAAGAACCGGCAATAAATGACTCAAGCAACGATGATGAAATCAAGCTTGTCATGAAGAAGTTTTGCAAACTTCTAAAGAAGAAAGAAAAGGCTGAGGATGGCCCTATGTGCTATGGATGTGGTGAAGCCGGGCACATTAAGAACAAATGCCCGAAAAGCGGAAGAAATGCTCGGCACTTCAAAAGGCAAAGGGCATATATCTCTTGGGGTGGCGACTCCGGCGACGAGTCAACCGATCAAGACGAGGATGAAACTGCCAACCCCTGTCTCATAGTGCACGAAGACCAAACCGACGATGTACAAGAGGTATGTACCATTTTTTCCGACTCTTACACCTTTGAAGAAATGCAAGAAGCACTTCATGAACTTTATGATAAATTTGTTAGCGCTTCTAAAATCAACAAATCGTTAAAGAAACGCCTCTCCACTCTTGAAAATGATTTTGAAAATCTGGAAAAAGATAATGAGAAGTTAAAACAAGAGAATAAATTTTATGGCAAAAGAAGCGCCGACAAACCA